TGGTGTCGCCGTCCATTACCAATACACGCGGACACGTCTTTCCCAATGAGACGAGTGCCGGACCGTACGCCTGACGAGTCGATACATTGTCTCCTATTTTATACTTCGGCGGTTCCGACAGTTTAACAGATTTCAGATTCGCAACCGGACACACATCGGAAGGGGGTTTTATAGTAAAGTCATATTTTTTAGTTGAAATCTTTTGACGCAAAGCTTGAATCACTTGTTCTGCTTTATCACCCAAAGGCTTCCCATGCCAGGCATCCTTGTCCTCAATGCCCTCAAAGCCTTTACCTTTAAATGTCTTCGCAATGATTGCTTGTGGTTTGTCTGTAATGGTCGTACATTTATTAAAGGTTTCGACAATTTCTTGCACATTATGGCCGTCCACTACGTGGGCATCAAAGCCAAAGGCTTTCAATCGGTTGAGATATACATCCATTTGATGGCCTAAAGGGGTTGGATCGCTCTGTCCGAGACGGTTGACGTCGAAAATAGCGACCAAATTGTTCAGTTTGTAAACACTTGCGAAGGACAGGGCCTCCCATACAGAGCCTTCAGCGGACTCCCCGTCTCCCATCAGACAATAGACTCGATACGAACTTTTGTCTATATATTTGCCCACATATGCCATCCCAGCGGCTATACTGAGTCCCTGTCCCAACGAACCGGTCGCCACATCAATGAAATTCAATCTGGGAGTCGGGTGTCCCTCAAGATCTGAATCCAATTTACGTAAATTCATGACATCTTCGATGGGGAAGAGTCCAGTGCGAGCCCACGCCGCGTATAGTATAGGCGCCGCGTGTCCTTTGCTTAGAATAAAGCGATCGTTGGATCCACTCTTTGGCTCTTTAATCGAGTACTTCATTGTATGGAAAAACAAGACTGAAATCAATTCAGCCATTGATGCACAAGACGTGGGATGTCCTGATTTGGAGGCGTTTGTGGCCATAATTGAGTCGATTCTCAACTGATTGGCCATATCTTCCAATTGTTTCACTAATTCTTTACTTAAACTCATTTTGTCTCGATTTTGATCTTAATTTCTATTCCTATAAAATTGTAAATTTATTTAGAATAATAAGATTTGTGGGGTTTTCTAGTATATCATTAATTCATCAACTTTTTTGTCAAAGTCAAAAATGCCGACAATTATGAATTATGGCAAATAAATGAATGAATTTTAATTAATTACTGTACACAAGAAAAATATTCAAAAAGATTTTTAAAAACTTACAAACCATTAATTAAAATACTTACGATAGGATTATATGAAAGCGGGTTATGATTGAGACTAATAATTAAAATATTATTAAAACAATATTTTTATAACGCGAGGAAAGTGGTGTATGAATCGGAAGACTAAACGTGTAGTAGTGCTCTCTCGCAGTCTCTCTGTATGTCTTTCTCTTGACTCTCTTGACTCTCTCACTGCCAACAAGTTGTTGGAAACAACTCTGTAATTATATAAAGTGGAAACTTTTCAAATACACGCTATTTGTAGATGTATTTCAAGTTTGCAAAACCACTTCCAATTCGCCACAAAATCTGGTCTTAGAGTTGAGTTTCGATTCAATCAGATCATAGTTTTGAGGAAAATTCAATTCAAGGCCATAAACATTGAACACTAAACCTATTATTAGTGATACTGTACTCAATTCATCTTAAACTTATCAAATATTGTCTGTATTTTTATATTCAATTCAATAGTGAACCCATCCATCCGTCAGACACTTTTCTCTCCCGACATTCACGACATTATATTTAAAGGGAAATAGTTTTATATGAATGTAATTGTTTTTTCTCCATATTTTAAACCCAATAATTATTTACAATTATTGACTAAACCATGAGTGAAGTAATGCTTACTTACTATTAGTTATAACTTATAAGTATTGGTATAACTTACAGTATTTTAATTTCATTTTATGACTATTCATAGAAATGATTATAAATTCTTTGGTTACAGAATCTGTACACTTTAAAATTAAAATATTGTTTGACACTGATATTATATCAGTGATATATCTGTGATAATAAATTTGATTGTAAGGAGGCCTTACTAAGGGCAATACATGTAGAACATTACACCCCATACACGGACTTTCGCCTCGGACTCTACCCTCGCATATCAGTCCCTATTTTAGTCTATTTTCCTCATGTTTATCCCAATAAATCTATAAATTATTGTAAATATTGACTGAAATAAAATTAAAATCATCTTGAAATTAAAGTTTTAAACAACATTGTCGAGACATTAAAGTTTTAAACAACATTGTCGAGACATATTATGATAAAACATTTTTTCAGTAAAAATATTTATACCGGTAAATGTTACTGAATATATTAGAGGGAAATTTTCATATTATTTAACTGTACTTTAAATTCAATAACAATTTAAGAACAACATTAATTCATTGAATAGAAATGTTTATTTTACTGTCAAAGTATTTAGATATGTACTTAGAGGTAGAATACAAAAATGGGAGTACATATATTTATTTAATTCTCAATTAATGCCATTGAAGTAACATTGTAATAATCATTATAAATAAAAATGTCATAACAAAATCAAAACATTTTACAACAGCTTTTTCACAATTTCCTTATAATACTTAAGTATTTTAATTTTTATATTAAGTTTACTCTAAACTATAATTTGAATGGCATTTATTAAATTAGTCTATGTTAATTAAATTTTATAATCATGTTATAACTCACTGCTAATGATGAATAATTTTCGTCGTAAATATGTGAAATAAATGTTAAAATATAATATGTATTAAGTTTATATTGAAAACCGTTGATATTTTCTTAATCAACCAGAAATTAGACGGAAAGAAAAATATTATATTTTTGAGGTAAAACTCAAAATGATTATACAATATAACACTCGTATGAATTAAAACCAACTTTTCATGTGATACGCGAGTGTGGGATAACTGTCGACATGTAATGAATGTGCAGAATGTATGCAATGTTATAATCGTATGATTTTAACGATTCATTATTTGAAATAATTTTATTTTCCATAACTAATACACAACCCAATAATGACTTCAATTAATTATTTTACAACAATAATGAAGGTCTAAATTGTTTGGGTATTGAGTCCAATGGAAACAGAACTTTAGAAACAGAGTAACACTAAAAGTCATTCATTAGATACTTTAAAACTTAATTTAATAAAATTTAATGATTAAATATAATATATTGAATATTGACATTTTGTCTGAGACCAAGCCTTTAATTTATATTCTAATACTGTAACATTTTTGGTTTACAATTAAAAACATGAATCATTTAAAAAGGAAAAGTGAAAACAATTATTTCCCAAAGGCTATAATGAATTGTTTTTAGTGGACTTAGAATAGAGAAAATAGAGATATTTATTGCATGTCAATGATCAAGAAATCTTCAGTTTCACAAACATTTTCATGCCATTTAACCAGCAATTCATGTTTGCAAACATTAATTTAAATTTTAATTGATTTTAATTTAATAACAAAAGATCAATTTCAATGTTCTAGATCACTTTCGTCAAGCATAAGTAAACTAATAAAAAAATAAAGTCTATAAAATTTCAATAAATACCTCTATTGAATAGAGTCTATTCTTTTATATTTAGTTTAGGCCCTAAACTTTAGGCTATACTGCACACTGTATTATACACTGTATAATATACAGTAGTATACAGTATCATCTGATGATACCATGATGATATAATCAGTAAATTTACAATATCAGGTGATACGGTAAGCATCTGATTTGATGTGACTTTTGCTGTTTTTTGAAACTTATTCATCGAAAGTTATTGAATTTTATAATACTGTACAAAACAACTAAAAAATAAACCTTTTTATCTATGCTCATGGTAAATTGAAATTCCAAAAAAATACGGTACATTGAACAACACGTTCGACATATGTCATGAGGACGGTCAGGGACGCGACATATTGGTGGCGTCCAAGTCATATGTCGAACCTTAAATAGTGGTCAACCAGACTTTGATGGGACCCGAATACCGTAGAATTCAAACGTTGGGAACCCTCACCTGTTTGTGTAACAGTTGTTGTGAATGACTCTGTTATAGGTTTTGCTTGTGTTTTGATTTGATTGTGAATTGCATTGAAATGAGTGACACATTAGACACGACCGCAAAGACAGACAAAGACACTGATTGTGAGCACAAAGTGGTGTTCAAGAAGAAGACACGTCCAGCACAACGACGAAGACATGTCAGTGACGACGACGAGGAGGACGTGGCATCAGAAGACCAAACAGACGTCTGGAACCGATTGACTCAATTGAAGGAAACACAACACCTGAGGAAGAGATCCAATAAAGGCATCGATATCTTAGAGTTGACTCAAAACCCAATTAATAGTAATAACAATAATTCGGTGAAGAATGAGACCAAAGGAGGACTCAATTCGGACGCAAAGACGTTAACCAATGAACTCGATTTGGGAAACACTTTCTCCGTTGAGACTAATCGTAGGGACGAAGACACGGATCTAATGAAGTATATCGAGGAAGAGCTCTCCCGAAGGAAAGGAACACAAGTGTCGAGCGCTTCCACGGCTGACAATAAGAGCTCTTTGGCAGTGAATTCAGCGAATGATATGAACGTATTGTTTGATGTATTGCCCGAACATCTGATCCAAACGAATGCCAAAAAGAGTGAAGAAATGCTTTCCAATCAAATGCTGAACGGAATCCCAGAAATAGAGTTAGGATTGGAAGAGAAGATCCGAAACATTGAGGCGACAGAAGAGGCGAAGAGTAAACTGTTGAGGAATAGGAGCGGCAGAAGTGGAGGCAATGTCTCGTCGTTTGTTCCCAACAATATCGCCGTTTGCTTTGCTCAGCACAACAGGTATAACATACCCGAAGACATGCCGCGACTCAACCCCACTATCACTGCTAAACGGGTCCGCACTGACACTCAGCCCACAACCACTTACGTCGAGGAACCGGTGGTTGTCATCGGAGACGAACCCAAACAGATGGTTAGATTGCAGAACAAGGGTTGGGATCAAAACCACAATAAGTTCTATGGAAAGGATAAGGCGACCGATGACTACATCTTCGAGAAGTTTAAAAAACAATTCCGAAAATTCTGATCACTATTTGCTAATGAATTGATTTTTCAAATATATTTTAAACACTGTATAAAACATGAGCGTATATTCAATTAAATTACCTAAACATGAATAATACTGTAATATATCCGTAATATACATTATTTAAGTAGTTTTAATACAATGAAAGTTTCATTTAATCATTTCATTATCACATATAAAAATATATAAAATTATTATTTCTTAAAAACACAAACACTTCAAACGGATGTCTCGTCTGTGACCACAAAATCGACTTTATTTTGTCGAATCGAGACCTGAGTCTTGCCGTTGAAGGCCATCTGTGCGGTCGTGTCTTTGCCTTTGAGGACAGACTTACGGTTCGGCGAAGTCTTAGTTGTAATACAATTGCGAATTGTATTCAAAAGAGTCATGAATTGGTTGTAATTCTCTAAACCGAAGTGAGGGTAGGGTTCATGTCGTGCACTGTTATAACTGTCCACAAAATGATTGATGAGTTTAGTATCACAATTGATGAGAGGGCCGTCGTCTTTGACAAGTCTCAGCAAATAGTATCTCAGATCCTGACCCGGAGGTCGCTTAAGGCTGTAGTCACCCGTCGCCTCAATCATCTCCGCCTCCAGTAATGCCAAAGAGTCGATGGCTTTCATGCGGTAGATGTGGTCGTAGTCGACATCCTTGGCTGCAATCAATCAGTCAAACACTCATTCAAAGTCACGTAATCAACAAACTCTGCTCACATTCAGTGGACTCGTAGTTGAGATAATTCAAGAGATTTGGTTCAAAAGTGATGTCTCTAACGACAGTCAGTTTACTCTCAATTCGCTGTTTTAGATGTTTTGGTGCATCTCTTGCCAGAGGAATGTGTGGAACAAATCGATTCTTAAGAGATAGTCTCATGATTTGTCTTTTGGCGAATATGAACAGCAATACGAAGACCTGGACACAAGCATACCAATTGACCATTAGGTTGATTGCAAAATGTCACTTATATTGGATGTGATCATGTGATACATACAAGAATCCCGATTGCAATGCAGATAATGGCCGCAACGCCAGACATGTGATAGCCTTCCGAAGCCATTATCCTTCAAGACATTGTCTTCATAGCATTGGTCAGTTATATGAAGACAATTGACTCCAATGTCCAAAGCAGTGATACAGTGTCTCAATGTTTTCAATGTATTTGTTGTCATTTGATGTTTGTTTCAAATTCATTCAATAATAATGTTTTCATATTTACATCTCTTCACAAATACTATTCCATTATTACAACTATTTCTGTCCCTATTTTGTAGATGACATGCATTTGTATCAGTATTTAGTCAATAGTATTGACCGATTAATATAAAATCATTTATTATTTAGTAACAGTGTTTATGAATAGTGATTGAAATGGACAATTGGGACGTTATTTGCGAATATAAATAAAGTTCAGAGAAACACATGTTTGAGAGAAACGTGGTTTGAGTTGATGTAGTAGTTGTGGTGATAGTGATAGTGACCTATTGGTGACCAAATCCAGTGACAATATCTGTGTGACACTCGACATGACGGCCAAAATGACTTCATTGTCGGCTCAGTTGTCTCGCCTCCGAGTGCCGCAGACATCGGCACAGAAGGAGAGGCGAGGAATGGTATCGTTTTTGTATGACTTTCTTGAGGCCAAATCCATCGACAATGACATGCATTACGCGATCGCTGTGTCCGGTTTGGAGGCATTGATCCGTTTGGACACAAGTATCGATCGGTTCCGGGAGACGCTGTTCAGTGAGTCGAGTAAGACATTGGACCGAAGCGTTCAAAGCCGTGAAGCGAACCAAGACTTGGACACAGAAGTGGAAGCCTTCCTCTTCACTGTTGTCTCGAAATACTTTCTCTTGAACTCAACCCATAAGACCATCGAGTGGTTGATCTATAGGTATGGCGTCAATGAGTACAACGCGGACGCACTCATAGCCAGTGCTCTTCCCTATCACGAGACCCGACTCTTCGTACGTCTTCTGCAGACCTGTTCTCAGATTAGAGTCCATTCAAGCCATTGGTTTTGGTTGAATGAAGTGCAGTCATCGGGATCTCCTCTGCCGAAGACTACTCTAATAACTCATTGCATATCCGTGCCATCATTTCTGCGCTTTATTTGCGAGAATGTCATGAAATGTCTTAAAATTGATGACAAAAACAATAGTTTTATTACTTTTTTTACATCAATTTTAATTAATATTATCGACAGGAATACAAACGAATCCATTATCTCAATAATCATTGGATCAGTTAGTAAAGGATTAAAATCAAAGAACCCATCCCTTAGAAAAGCGTGTCTTTGTATTTGTGGACACATTTGTGTGAGAATACAATTGGAGGCAAACATTAACCGAAAACTTCTCAAAGCAATGGCTAAACGATTGAAATCCTCGGACATTGAAGAAGAACTCATTGTCTGTCTGTCTGTTATGCATCGATACCAACATTTAGATGATTTACCATTTAGTCTCATTGAAAATATTTCGTGTGATTCGCTCATTGAGTGCAATGAAAGACATGACATCCAAGGAGTAATTTGTCTGTTCTTAAGAAGTCTTCTAAACAATTGCAGTGAAGCTGTGGTGAGTGACAAACTGATGATTCTTTTGGATAAATTGACTCTTAATTGTGAATCAATTAATACATGCATTCAAACAATGGCTGAATGTATGAAAAGTGACGAAACGGACAAACCTATTGAGACTTTTAAGAAGGTTTTCAATCTCTTTGAACTCCGATACCCAACTCTATTGGACTCTTGTGTAGCAAAACTGGATTCAATTTCATTGATTGAGTCTTTCTTAAGTGCTCTCAAGTATTCATTTTTAGATAAATCCAGAATTCCTCTCATCTTTGGTTTGACTCATATCAGTGAATCCGTTCAATCGGAAGCAATCCATTATTTGATTCAAAACTTTGATTCATTAGTTGCACAAAAGGATGAGATGATAACCACAACCATTAAGAGTCTATTATCGGAAGCTTTTGCCTCAAAAAGCCCTCAATTATTGATTTCAATATTTGGTTTGAAAGAGAAAATGTTTGAAATATTAAATGAAGAGGAGATGCGAGAAATATGTGAAAACTTACTGAACTTTTGTCGCATGAAAAATGAGAATTGCGACCACAATGAGATGAGTTGGCGTTACCTCCAGAACTCCATTCTTGCGACCTATTGCTCCACTGATGCCGTGTTCTCTGACTCCGACTACTCTTTTATTTATCCATTTTTGTTGCCTTTAAATGAATCGGATTTTATAACATTTGCAATAATAGTGAACTCCAAGAGAGCCAAATACTGCCAAATGTTGAGTTCTCTGCGAAAGAAACACAAAAAACTGTTTGACGAAGATTTCAATGAAACTCATCTCAACTCTATTCTCTCTGTTGTTTTGACTCATTTTGCCGAATATTATATAGAAAATGTGAATTTGATTTGTGAGAAAAGCTTTGTACACATCAATCATAGCTATTATTACCTCAAATCATGTGCTCTAAGTCTCATTCTTTTGGAGCGAATACATGTGCTCTCATCCGATGCCCAAGTCAAGCAAATTAGTGCTAATATATTGATAACACTAATTGAAACAATGCTTAAATCAATGAATATCTCAAAATCCAAACGTTTGTGCCAAACAATGGATGATTATTTAAACCATCTAATGAAGAATTTTAAGAGAAATAGGTTTAATTTATCAGAGATTTGTTTTATTTTGGATTCAGTAGTCGATTCAATTGATTCGTCGATTGTTTCAAACGCTGATTCTTGGTTTTGGTTCAAACAACTCAATTCAATGAACTATTTATATAAACTATTTTTCCTGTTATTCAATAACTCTTATCATCAAAATAAGAGCAAATCAATTATTTTCCGCAAAACTTTTATTCGATTTATTCAAAAGATATATCAAATGTTTGGTTACGACTACTTCAGTGCCCTTTGGCTCAATGACACCAACCTATTGTCTCAAATCCGTTCCCTTCAAGTGGCCTCTCATTTGGTGAAAACTGATGTGAAAGTTAGTGAAATGACTGTTTGGTCGGCAATCATATCAATGCATTCGCCATTAAGTATTTGTCGCGAATCAGCACTTGTTGTGGCAAAACATTTGACCAATACTTCTAAGAATCTTCTTCTGAAAGAGTGTCTAAACAGAGAAGAGTTGATTATAAGTGACGCCAATTCTGTCAGTTGTGTTATCTCCGAATACTTTTCATCGAATCCCAAAAATAAGTCCCAAAAGCAAGCGATTGAATCATTGAAATCTGAATGCATTGCCATAATTAGTGATGACAACACTCCCGAACACTTCAAGTCTGGTCTCGTTTTGCTTCTTAATCGATGCGACACTCAGTTATTGCAGAAAATTATTGCAAAACTTAACACTTATTTGAATTTGAAATCTCCGAACAGTTCACAAATAAAGACAATTGAGTGCTTATTATCCATTTATAGCGAACCTAATGTTTTGCAGAACGCGGACACAAATGTAATCTTTAATTTCTTCCTGAACTCAATTCAAACAAAATTCTCTCAAGAAGTAGCACTCAATCTGATTAGTCGACAACTATTTGATTCATTGAATGCCAAAGAATTCAAAATAAGTTTATTGAATGAATTATTAGAAATTTTTGTTAAAAGCAATAACAAGACGGCGAAGAAAAAGTTGAAGAAACTGTTAAAAAGCGGAGATTTGATATCAGATTTATTACAATCTCTGGTACCACTCGAAGAATCGATGGATTCTGGAGAACCCAAAGCCAAACGATTGTTTGCAAACGACTCGCTGTTTTCACTAGAGTTGAATCATTGGAAGAAATTCATTATTTTACTCGAAATGTTTCAGTCGAAAAGCAATTTGTCTGAAGTATCCCTTCTAATCAAACATTTATTTGAATATTTGAAAAAGACTTTTATTATGGAGTCGAAGAGCTCTTTGGAATATTTACGACAATTGATATTATCTTCACTAATCAATTGTATTCAACAAAATACCGATAAATTGCCGTTTATTCCCATCGAATCTGTCATCGAATGTCTTCGAGAGTCACAGCAAAAGGAGACACAAAAGATAACATTGATTTTGATTAGTAGTGTCGCCCATCAATTCAAGAAAGAGATCCTCGATTATGTGATCACTATTTTCACGTTTATTGGCACTAATCTACTCCACTGTGACGACCAATACTCCATTCAAGTGGTTTCAGACACTATGGACGCCATAATCCCTATATTATTAGATGATACCAAAGACACCAAACATGTAGTAATCAATGTTTTCATCGATTCATTGGCTGATATACCGGCGCATCGAAGGCTTCATTTGTTTGGAAAACTACTCCATATATTAGGAGAGAGAGAACACTTGGCTCTCATTTACATGAAAGTTATCGAAAGGATTTATAACAAATCCAAATCAGAAAAGGAGCCGTTCCTCAATCTGTTGGTCGCACTCACCGCTCAAATAGACGTTAACATCCAAATCGATTCACTCAACCATATAATGGATGTCTTTATCAATGAGTTTACAGACGGAACACGAGTTTTGTCGATAACAGATCAGAATTTGTCGGATAATGATAGACGACTTATAGCTCAGAGTTTGGCAGAAATTATTTTGGCTATTGTTTCCTCCCATGAGTTCATACAATTGACGACAAACAGCGAATGGACGCAAATCAGTGACCAATTGTTAACATTTTTGCACAGTTTGATTGTATTGATCACTAAATATTCAAATGAAAGCCAATTTCCGGCCAAAGAGTTGAACGCTCACCGAAGACGTGTCCGAAGTGTCTTATATAAAATCCTTCTTCACGTAAGTCTCACATATGCTTTGAAATTATTAAATTAAAAATTAATTATTTATTTTTCATTTAAAGTTTAATTCGCTTTTACCGAAGCAACAACTCATTGAACTTGTATTACAATTACTGAAAAATGAGTCCATTTTAATACAAAGAAAGGGTTTGGAGCTGTTGAATGAGAAATTAGCTCAACTTTCTGACCGATCATTGAATGTAAGCTTAACCTAATATACAGTACAGTACTGTTAGTTTAAGGTTTGAATAACTTAGTTTAAAATTACTTTGTTACAGTCGAAACAATTATTTGCATTATTGGATTCTTTGATATCAATGGTTCCGACACCGGATTCAGTGAATCAAATGGATGAGCAACACGTCTATAACACACAGCTATCGATGATTACATGTAAACTATTGTCTAAACATTTTGAAGAAAATACAAAATTGGAAGAACTGGTCAAGAATTTGATTGAAAAGATTATTGCACTCATCAATGGAATGGAAAGTGAAGTATCTGTTAATTTCAAAGCCTCGTGTATTCTTTGCTTAACTCAGCTAATGATAAGTTTGGCGAACAAAGCGATTCCTATTATTCCAGCAGTTATGCCCATATTGTTAAATAATTTCGATGTCCGGTAATTAAATGAAATTTTTATTTCTATTGTTATCTATTGAATGATGAATTAATTTTTCGTCACCTGATTATGATCTGAAGAATTCTTTAACTGAATGAGACATTTAATTTAACGTATGCATCCATTAACTTGTTTTAGTGTTAACTCATTTGTGATTCGTTTTAGGGATGAAGTCATTATTATTTCTAATATAACATCCATTTCGAAAATAACACAAAAGTATCCGCAATTCTTGAGTCCATATTTGGATCAAATAATTGTTAAGGTAAGATTAAATGAATTTTATACAGTATTGCCGTATATTCTCAGAATTTCATTACTGTAAATGCTAATTATTGTTAACAGCTATTATCAACGCATAACAAATGCCCGCAAATAAAATCTAAATTGAAGTCAATTTGGGATAATTTTGCGAAAATGATTCCCAAAAGAATTCTGTTGAGTTCAGTGGACTCGTGCTTTAATGAAGTCTCGAAGATATCAATCGTAAGTTATAATGAATAAAATGCGATAAATTAATGAATTTGCTGTCATTAGGAATCGTTGTGCGAATTAATGGCTCTATTAAAGCAAACATTTGAAGACATTAGCTCTAAGGGCGACGTTCAGAACATCCAAAAGTTTGTCAAAAACCTATTGCTCAAGACATTGGACGTCAGGAATATGAACCGAAACAGCGCTGAGTCCACACAAATTGATAGTTTAGAGAACTCATGCAATGAGACATTCTGTGCACTCATTCCTAAAATGACTGAAATTACATTTCGACCGCTTTTTTATAAGGTTTTCTTATTCATAGCTGAATCCCTAATGAATTCTGATTATTATTTGTTAATTAATTAGTTATACGATTGGGCCATAAGAGAGAAGAATGGAAAACTATTTTATAGAATGATATCGTTTTATAAATTCTTGCAATCTTTAGCCGATAAACTCAAGAGTTTATTTTGTGTATTCATTGCGCCATCGATTATCAATAATTGTTCCCAAATGTTGTCTTTATTCCATTCGGACAATCAATCCGATCTCACATTAGATCCAAAGGCTACTCACTTATTGATTACATATATTCTGTCGACACTTTGCAAGTGTTTTCTATACGACATCAACGGCTCTCTTCTCAATAAGGAACGGATGCAGACTTTGGCCAAACCCATCATCAATCAGGTCTGCAATCCATTCAATGGTATATTCTTTGAAATTCTAATTCAACATTTGGTTATTTAGTTGACAAACACTATCGGCACTGACGAAGAATATAACGCAAGAGTTGAGACTTTGTGTTTGTGTACACAATATATGATTGAATCGAATAGAGACGACACTATCATTAAAGACTTTAATTATCAGATTCTCCTTAAAACTAGAGAGACTTCCAATGAAGTAAATATAACTCATTATATTTGTCATTTCAATTTTTAATCATATGCTTTGCAAACCCAGATCCGTTTGGGTGCCCTTCGAGTCCTGCACCGACTTATTCTGGTTTGTGGTGAAGACTATTTGCCTATAATTCCCGAAACCATTCCATTCATCTCTGAATTGAGTGAAGACGACTTCATCCCTATTGAGAACCTCATTAAGACAGTTGTCATGGATTTGGAGCATATTTTGGGCGAACCCATCACTAAATATTTATAAATTTAATTAATTGTTATATTTAATTAAATTTAATTAAATTAATAAACTGTTGATAACATGAACATGGTGTTTTAATTAATTTTGAAAACTATATTACAGTATATTGTAAAAAGTTTACGTTGAAGCATGCTTTGTCAATTTGTACAGATGTCTCATTAGTCCAATAATTGAGTACAGAATCTGTGAGATTCTGTGAGGCATTGAATGAAATGTTTGATTTTGGCGCTAAAACAGTGCGATTGAGTGGACTCGTGATCCGCCCACCCATTGGTCTCTACGACTATGTATTGCTATATATTTAGTACAGTATATGACATCAACAGACAATACACACAATCACAGAGTACTCGTTGTTTCGATCCATTGATTCAGTGGTTAATCAACTGAAGGGTTCATCAAACGCTTGTTTGACAGAAATGACTCGTAAGACATGACTGACTGGTAAGGCATGCGATCTAACTGTTTGTTTGGTGTGTTGTGTCTGACAGGAGGTAATCAGCGAGAGTTAGCCCGACAGAAGAACCAGAAGAAGCTGTCGGAGAGCCAGAAGAAGAAGAGCGCCGACAGTAAAGACGGCAATAAAGGCATGAGTCTGGAGGAGAGGAAATTCCGGTGCGAACTTCACCACCAATTCATTGGTGACATTGTCTCTAATGTCTGATCCCTTTCAGAGACGCAGAGCTCATGAGAGAGAAGCAAAAACTGGCCGCAGAAAAGCAAAAGAGCGGATCCGCAGGAGAGACATCCGCTGGAGAGACATCCAAATCCAAGTGAACCCCAATCGACATAAGTATTGCAAACAATAATACATTTCTGTTTTAAACTCATCTCTTAATTCAAAACACTTTAAATGCAAACGAAATGATCAGAAGTTTTATTATTTATGAGAAAATGTTTGAAACAAATGTTAATCAAAATTGAGTCCATTTTTTAATATTAAATAAACTATTTATTCATTGATGTCTTTGTTTGTGTGTCTGGTCTGCACTGCTGTCGAGACTGTCTTAACGCCGTATAATATCCCGTATGATATCCACTCATATACCACGACATCAACATCGAGGCCAACGACTCGTCATCTGATGGGAGACCAGAGTTGGCCCTCATTGTGATCGGTGGGGGTATTATGGGTGGACTCGAAGGCATTGTCTCTGAAGGCATAAACCACGAAGAAGTCGATGCGTTCACTCGAGTACTGCTATGAGTTTTGTTGGAGTTTTGGTTTTGTTCATTGACTCGCATTTGATTCGTAAAACTCTTCGTCTCGTAATCGGTGTCTGAATTGCTGTTAACCTCTGGAGCGTCAGTCGACTGCTGTTCCTGTTGTCTTCGCCATCTCTTACCAAACGATGGCTTCAAATGGTTGAGTGGTTTGTGTTCTTCATTGCCATAACCAACGAATTTGACAAAACAGGTCTCGTTTGAGGTATCAATTGATATGATCCGCGCCTCGTATTCAATGCCGTCCTCACTATAAGTTGTGCGACAATTATCACCCGTTTTCCACGAATGAGCCCTTCCTTTGGCGGCCGATCTGTTGCCACTCGTGTCCTCCAGTTTGTCGTCTCTCTTGTCGTCACCGCTTTTGTCTGCAATTCTTCTGTTGACGAGTTTGACGGCCCGATCGTAGGCCTCGACGAGAGCCCTGTCGTCCCACACGTCCTCACATTCGCCGCCATTCATCGTTCGCTTCCAAACCACTTCTTCGTCCGCATATGACATCACTTCGGCTCTGATCTCCCTTTCGGTCCAAATTAGCGACAATTAAATGAATGGATGGTTTGATTGGCGATGTCTTTGATTGAGTGAACAGTCAATGAATGGTGTGTTGAGTGTCAGTGAGACTGTCGGTGCAAATGAGTGCAAGTGTTGACTGCAATCACTATTTACTGTCCATTACTTCAATCACTTTCACAACAAATGCCTCTCTTTTGCCACTTCTCTCACACGTCCTGTGCTTTGCGTACGTCTTATGTGAACAGCGTTTCACTCCATTACCTCTTTTTGTGTATGTCTTTGACGTGAGTGACCATCACTTGATCACTTCCACCACTTCCAGCCTATTGTAGACAACTGTAGACAATGAACAAACCAAACGCTTACAGAAGTGCAAGACGTGAACAACTCTCACAACAGGAGCGACTCATTCAGCAAAGGAAACAAGAAATTGAGGACAAATTGAATCAGATGTCCAAAGAGTCTTCGGATGACTGCAGTGACAGCAAAGAGTCGACTCCTTTGCCAGTGATTAGTGACGACAAGAATCCAGAGATCAAAGAAGAGGTAGAAATTAAGCCCACAATCGATGCAAATGAGAGTCAGACACAAACGGAAACCAATGAGACGTCGGCTCCAGTTATCGCCAATAAAGTGAGACTTATATCATATATGTCTTCAATTGTCACCAAATATTAATGCATTGCATGACTTCCTCTTAGTTCCAAAACGACGGCTCATTTCTGGAGAGATTTCTTCAAATGAAGAAAAGTGTTGAACAAAACAGTGAACCGATTGTGAAGACAGAGCCAAATGACACAACGAAAGCGATTAAACCCATAAAAATGGTGATCAAAGAGTGAGTGATTATATGATAAATAGTGGTAAATGTCTAAAATGGTGATCGACTGGCATTTGATCAGAAATAGCTCCAAATTGAAAGCCATTTGTTCAGTGGAGGCATCGACTGTAAAACTGTTTGAAGAGGACATCAAAGGTATTTAATGTTTAGTAAACACACAACTATTCAATAGTTATGTCAATCGATGGCAATGGAGTTGGAGTTTAGTGTTACACTTGAACTGATCCGATGCTTAAAGTCTCTCCACCAGAGGGTAAGGACATTGAGTTGGCTATAGAGAGGACTGCTATTAGTGTCACAATGAATGGCGCAAAAGCGGAGGACAATATCCGTGAGTCGAAAGCCGAAGACACGCACTACAGGTTTGTGGCAATGATTGTAGTGATGAACACTTGATTGGATTATATTTTGTATAAACTTTCCAACAGTTGGCTCAGAGATAAAGAGTCAGAAAATTATAGATTTTATCAAAAAAGAGTGGAAGAGCTGAAAGAAGCCAAAGTGAGGGCACAGAACGACGGCCTTTTCGATGACGGTATGTCTGGTGACAATTGGTCTCAATTGCATTGAATGAGATATAATTGTTGTGCAAATCAGGCGCCGAGTCGTCGAGCAGTAGACCTGTTAAGAAGAAGCAGAAGAAGTCTCGTTGGAGTGACGAGAAGGTGGACTTAAAGCCATCGGATCCCACATTAATTGAATACGCGTTGCAAGTGTTTGGGAGCACAGACTTAACGGCAGACCAATGGAAACAACTCGAAGATCAGCGAAAAATGAAGATATTGTTCGAAATGCTGCAGAAGAAGCAACAGATGAACCAAAGATTAGCCAATAGTGGAAAAGTGAAGTATGAATACGATAGTGATGAAGAAGTGGACGCGACAGACGGCACGTGGGAACACAAACGGCGCCGACAGGAGATGCTGGCGACACACACATTGGCCAATGAACTGACGGAAAAGGGGTCGGGAAAGCATCACATCGGAGACTTCATGCCTCCCGAAGAACTCGACCGCTTCATGAAGAAGTGGGAGGCACTCAAAGATGGCGAACCACTTCCGGATGATTCAGATTACAGCGATTCCAAACTCAAAGAGGATAACGTGGGCTTTAAAATGCTTAAGAAGTTGGGATGGAGTGAGGGTCAGGGACTTGGCTCACAGGGCACCGGTACTGCCGAACCCATTAACAAGTACTGCAACTGTTATATTAAATAACTTATTGACAATCTCTCTGTTACTTTCAACTCATTTGTCATATATTTGGTGATCAGATCTGTGGGCGCTGTGAACAACGCTGGTTTGGGTCAAACACGTCCTGAAGAACTTAGTAATACCGACGATGAATATGAAGCGTACGAATGCATTGTTTTTATGAATATATTCTTTAATTATAGAGTAATATAATAATGTGTTTAATGTATTGTTTATATAGCTATCGGAAGCGAATGATGATGGCCTATAGGTTTAGACCCAATCCTCTGGTAATAAATCTCTTAATTTATTATTTAGTCACTAATGGTATGTCTATTGCAGAACAATCCTCGTCGGGCTTACTATTGAACCATTACTTGCTTGTCATGAATATATAAATTATAATAATGTAAACTAATTATGAAAATATTAATATTAATCTGATCTCTCAGTTAATA